TTCAAGTTGTAAATTACACAAATCGATAAAGAGAAAGGAGATGAGAGAGAAAGAGTGTGGGGGCACAATGAGTAGAAAGAAAAGGAGAAATGGTTTATTTTATTTCGTAAATCTCCAAGAAATTTTGAAAATTACACTCATCCAACAGAACTATCATGTCATTAATCATTGCATGGATTTATATTCAAATATAAATTCAAGTTGTAAATTACACAAATCGATAAAGAGAAAGGAGAGGAGAGAGAAAGAGTGTTGGGCACAGTGAGGAGAAAGAAAAGAAGAAATGATTTATTTTATTTTATTTCGTAAATCTCCAATATTGGATGAGATTGTAATCTAATGGTATTGAGAGAGGTATGCAAAATAAGAGTAGACAGAATAACTTATCCCTTAAACTAATATGTGAAAATAGTAACGGAAGAGGAAGACAACGAAATCCGAATTGATTCACAACAATCCTCAGATAAAATTATTTTTTACAATTCCAAGCAACGTCGTTTTGGGGTGTTTGAGAAAAGAATACATGGTATTCTAGTAATTTTGCTTTTATTTTATATCATGAATTTTATTAAACTACTTGTATTTTTTTCCTAAAACCCCCCCCCCCCCAAAAAGCGATATTATTTTGGAGTTATAGGAGATAATTTTATCACATATTGTTAAAAGAAATGTTAATCCCTATATATAATTTAATTTATGTTGCGTGAATAGGTCAAATTTTGTGATGTATTTGTATCATATTAGTTTCTGTTTATGAATCTATACTAGATACCCACATTATATAAAGCCCAATAATGTGCAAATGAAAGAAGAAATTAATATAATATAACAAAAATATTAATCTCATATAATAATCTTAATATGACAGCAACGAACCTGGACATGGACTTTCAGACGAGACATCAAAGGTCCATAATTTCACTACTACAGTTAAATCCTATAAGAGATAAAACCTATAGGTATGGACATCTTTTCTCTCTCTACTATTATTTTATCACTGTACATACACACCACCTCTTTGGCAAACATTATTATTTTCAATGCACCTTGATCTGTCAAACTCAAGGATATCTATAGTGGCGGAGCCATGTTGCTAATTTTTAAAAGTTAGCCACGTTTTTTATGTGGGTAAATATATGCTGCTAAGTTGAAGAGATAAAAGTTAATGGTTGGCACTAGCTAAATTTTTTTTGGCCCTGGCTCATTATTTTTGCTAGCTCCGCCACCAGATATCTGAGAGAACATCTAAATCCAATATCAACATATTCAACACAAGTCTAAATGTTAGTATTTATATACTACTGTAGTAATTATATTTCTTAGAGGAGGGATATTCTTACTATCAAAATTTTCTACTACCAACTCATTACCTATCTAATCACCATTGAATCAATATTTTCTCTTTTTTCAAAAAGTTTTTAGAATTCTCTCTTTGATTCAATGGTGATTAGATATGTAGTAAATTAGTAGTAAAAAATTTTGGTAGTAAAAATATCTCCTCTCTATTTCTTATGTATTCTTGTTTTTAATTTTATCTTTTTATATCCACCGCCCAAACAATGCCATTTAAAAATATTTAGGATCTGGCTTTTTTCTGACTAGTTTACGTTCCCAAAAAAACCTTTAAATATCATCTTCTCAACACAAAGTACTGACTTTCTTCCTCACCCAATCATTTATTATAATTTATAGGGGAAAATGTGTGTCATTTAAAATAATACACCTTATTTTTTTTTTCTTTCATAAAAATGTGGGATCTAAACTTTTAAAACTTTTTTCATTCATTCTCTATTTCATAATTTATCTCTTTCTCTTACTTAAAATAACATAATTTTATGTCCTTCAAAATGATACACATTTTCTTCTAATTTATAATGGCAACCATTAATGATAGATAAAAGGAAGAAACAGTTCTTCTAAAATGAGATTGTCTTTAAAATAAATAAGAATGTATCTACACTTAAATCATTTAGAGGATTGAGATTACATTATATTTTATTAAATTAAGAGTAGATATATTCTGCCTTTCTTATTTTTAAGATAATTCCACTTTAAAATAACTTTTTTGTACGCAGAAAAAGAATGGAATGAAGGTATTGAGATGAGAGTGAGAGAAAGCCTTAAACAATGGCATGAGGAAGAAAAGGAAACATTGGAGAGGAGAGGATGCATAAAACACACGTTAGGGTGATCAGAGGTGAATAAATTCAATTTTTCTTTCCAAATATCTAAATAATTTTACTTAGTTAAAATTATCTGTGTCTTAATTTTTTTAAAATTATCATGTGCAGCATAGGTTACAGTATTCAATTAGCATTTTTCATTTTTAATAAATTGTGTCAGTATATGTAAATTTGAAGCCTCATTTTTTTGTTAGCGTGAGTAATTGACAATGTTTCAAAAATATGAAGCATTATTGCATTAACTCTAGCAAGCACAATTTCTTATCTTCTCTGTTTTAGAATCACAGTTAAAATATGCTTAAGGACAACAAAAATATATATTATATATAAAAATCTACCTTAATCCAAAAGGTTGATTCAAGCCGTCAGAATTAGATAATATTAGAATATGAGATTAATGTTTCTCATGTTATAAGAGATGCTTTTATTTCTTACACATACATAAAAGTGTGTGGGGTCCATGTGGACTCGTGTGAAGAGAAAAGAAAAAAAAAATGTGAACCTCGTATATTTTTACGTATATGTAACAAATAAAAATTATCTTTAAAAAACACTAATCCTTTGTAACATCTCCCTTAATGTTCTTTCATCTGTTTCCAAACAAAGTTTGTGAGTAGGTTGCATTACCTACAGCCCAAACTGTTGTGAAACCTAGGGCCCATTACTCTAAGCTCATTTATTATGAGCCCGGTGCTCATGCACCTTTTCCAAAAATAGTAAAAATAAAGAATTGAGAGGGGATTTAAAATAAAAAAAGGATATAAATGAAAAGAAAATTTCTTTTTTTAATAAAGGATCACCAAATAATACTATACTCCTGGAGCATATTAAAAAAATCCCCTTGTGTGAGTGCTAAGCCCAAAAGAGTTACACAATCTACTTACATTGAGGATTACCACACCAAATAAATTAGGATAAATTATATTCTTGATGAGAATGGCATCAAAAGTTAAATGCTTATGAAATTGTAGTGAGATAATCAAGCATGTAACTTCTGATAAAAATAATATATTAAAAGATTAGCGAAGAACACAATTTTTTGCAACAACTGTTACTAAAAATCTTGGCCAGCCAGATATGCAAAACCATAAATGTAAGCTAACTTCCCCATGCTAAAAAATGATAATTGGGAATTTAAATATTTAGTAATAAAGTTCTGTATCGGATAAGAATAGACTAGGCATGAAATGTGGGAAATATTTGGAGATGAGTTATCTTACGTTACTGAAACAAAATTCTAAGAGAAACCCATAAATAATTGGAGAGAAAAAAAAATGGGTTCGTTTTTTCTGCAGTAAATCTAATACGACGTCGTTTTGGGACAGAAATCATGATGTTTTTATAATTTTAATTTATTTCAGGATTATTATAGTCTTTATAATTATAATATTTTAATTTTTCAATCCCAAAACGACGTTGTTTTGGGAGTAAATATAGATAACTTATATGCAGTAACTACATAAATATTTAAAAAAAAAAAAATAGAGGTGGGACTCACCTTTGTTACGTGTGTGTAAGAATTTGATTTATCTCATGTTGAATGAGATAAATATAATTCATGGAAAATATAAGTAAGAAAAACTTACAAATCTAATATCTTAAAATTTTGAAATAAAATATAATGGCGGATTCACTCGTGATTGTACCGCTTAGTCAATTCATCGTAGATGGTAATCTTCCCTATTTTAAACTCCTGCCCCATAACACTATTCCTTAATCTTTCACCCTCTAAGTCTCTACCTGAACATCAATAAGTACAAAATTCAGAACTTTTCACCCTTGGAGAAAATAATTAAATCATCCTCTTATAGATGTCTATCAGGCCATCACTCTGGTTTATAAGGCTAGTGACTACCCATTTTCAGGACTACCTTTGGCTATTGCAACAATGTTACTATATCATTGTAGAAAGTTTTATGCTGTGGTTTGCTTGGTGATATATTGAACACCTATAATTAATAGACTTTACTCTTAAACGGGGTAACTATCTAATACAAAAGTTGAAGTGGTTTTGAAAGTTACTCCTACAATGTTTAAGCTATTGAATTGTAAATAAATGAAATTAGATATACAATCATATGATGATGAATGCAAGAATTTTATGTTATTAATATCAAGGAGAAGGTTATATTTACAAACTTTTTGTTTACAAACTCTTACAAACTACACTAAATCTAACCGGTCATACACTCTTGATTGAAGTATGATCACTCTTGATTGAAGTATGATCAGTCATACTTATTATAATTTGTAAGTTTGTAAGAAAAAAAGTGTAAATATAACCTTCCCCTGATATCAAATAAGCATATGCCTAATTAGTTCCTTCAGAAAAGAAAACCAGACTCAAGGAGGAGGAAACTGTAATTTCAAATTATACAAGCAATGTCTCTTATTGCAATGGCTTGTGGACAAATCCATCCTCGCAAACCAAAAAGTTCTCCCAGCATATTATCTAGCTCATCATAATCATCACATGACAAACAATAACTATATGAGCAAGTTGAAAATGTCAACGGCTATTGATCAAGGGAAACATAGAATGCAGATTTATCAACTTTTGTGCAATAAGAACAAGAAAAGAAAAGGGAAAGTGTAATAGAAAAAGAAATTATGTGCTTTGCTCTTAAATATGCATTGATGTCTTGAAGAAAATAAGTGCCTATATTTTAGGCTGATTGTGATACAGATTGTTATCAATGCATCATTTTGACTTCATCTGTGTATAAGACACAAAAGAAAAAACCTTTGCCACAGATATAAGCCTCTGAACATTTTTCTATTTGCTATAACCAACTCTCAAGTTACAATCCAGGCCCAATCTTTATGAAAAAGAAAAAGAAAACAATAAAATAAATACCTAGAAAACTCTGAAAAACAGCACACAAAGTAATCAATGACACATGTAAACTCCTCACCTAAGATTGACTGGAAAATGATGAAACAGATGAAGACTGAATGAACCAAAGAAACAACTCAAAAGGAGTAACATCTTGATTGCAACTGCTTTGAAGCCTGAATACCATCCCTTAAAGTCAGAATTTCATTAACAGCCATGACTCTCTTTCTCCATGGTAATAAACTTGAGGTGCAAAAGTCTCATTTTACCATGAAGCAATTATTGGCACAAGATTCAGATTCTTACTGATCAGATAAGATATAGCCTAAAATTCATTGAAGGTTGTTGTCATGGCTATCTTCTGAAGCATTAACACATGAAATTGGCCATGACAAAGTTGGATTTGAAGAAATCCTCTGTGCCTCATCCAACAACAAATGCCAATATGACATGGTTAAGTTGATGACAACATAAAACTGGAATCAAATACAGGATTTTACATGTTTTCCTGAAAAGATTCAGACCGAGAGAAAGCAGCAGGGTTTGCCCTTAGAATTTGATTATCATCTAAAATATGAGAACTTGCATTTGACTTAGGTTCAAATGATTTAAAAACACTTCCTTTCATAATGGGTTTGTTCTGTTCAGACTTTGTTCCCAAAGTTGACCATATAGAACTCTTTGCAGCCTCTTCTGGATCATTAATTCTTACAGTCTTAGGTACCCAAAGATTCTGTTTCACTGTATCTTCTGCTGGTGTACTTCCATCTCTAGAATGTTTTCCTAAGGTTGGAGACCTATTACCAGAACTGGCACAGTTGCTAACTGAAGATGAAGGTGATAGGATGCCACTAATTGTAGAAGATCCAACCAATGAAGACTCTTCATTTTGCCCAGCCCAGTTTGGCATGCAACCCCAATATGAAGCAGGTGACACTGGTAATTCTACAGTTGGTGTGGAGAAGCCAGGAACTGCCATCATGGTTGCAGAACCCATGTAAGAAGGGCTATTAGTTATGCTACTGGGGCTAAACATCATAGCATTCCAACATGGATTCCATTGGTAAGCCCATGGAGGAACAGGATAATATTGAACTGAATTTAAAGGAATTAAACCATTGCAGTGTTGTGACAAACCAACCTTCTCCAAGGATTCAACAGATCTCATAGAAGTGCTGGAATGCTCCTCATCATCATCATTGACAGTAGAAGAGTCCACTTCAATTTTTGTCTGGTCCTTGAGATTTAACATAGTTTCAAGGGTTTCACTAAGAGGAGCTTCCTCATTGAGACTAGGGATGTTCTCCATTCCATTAACAGGTCTTGAAGTCATAGATAAGAGATGCATATCAGATACTGCATTAGGGGTCACAGGTAAATGCTTACTTTTGCGCTTACCAGCACCAACAGGAACATTTCTAATTGTTCCCCCAGCTGTCCAATATCTCTGGCAATTTTTGCAGAAATGTCTAGGTTGGTTAACATTGTAATTGTTGAAATAGCAAAACTTTGTTTCCAAACTATTGCAGCGAGGACATGGCAGGACCTTGTCTGGCTTCTTGAAAACTTTTTCTTCATGATCCACTTCTCTTTTAGTAGTCATGTCTTCATTAGTTCTATGTACTACTTTGGCCACCAGTTTCACAGTAGGACATTTATTAGCATCTTCTTGAGGATCAGTCTCTTTGCCTGATACTTCCTTCATAGGAACATCCACTTCAGCATTAGTTGATTCTTCAAGTCCATTCTGCAATTGAGGACCAAACTGTGTCAGCTGGCCATTCATGGAATATACAACTTGCATTAGAACCAAAGGTGCTAACTCAGTGAAAGAATACAAAGGTTGGCATAACATATGCATTTCAACATAGATAAATAAACATGAAATAACCACAGATTAAGCAAATCTCAAAAACTCATGCTTATGCTCCAGCAATGTGATCTTCAGTAGATAAAAAAAATGGGACGTTAAGAATCAAGTTGAAAATGCCGTTGACCTTTTTCTCCTAAACATAACAGAAGAAGAACAAGAATCTTCTTTCACCAAACCTCTATCCATATTCCATTGCTACAGTTGATAGAATAGAACACACCAAACTAATTTGGTCTCATTTAAATTTTATGATATCCATTACTGGTTAAACAATTCAGTCCAAGTTCCAATCAGATTCCAACACAAATTATTGAAATTAAATCTCACTACTTATTTTCTATAGTGCCAAACAATAATCCACCCCTGCTTTTCTTTCATTTACTTTGTAGTGCCCTTTCAGGAACAAAAGTTAAGTTTCACTACCTTATCAAACAAACACCTTCAGATACCTGAAGCATAATTTTTTTTTTGGGTAATGGGCATGAGAACTACATCAAAATGTTCATTATAGAAGTATAAGATTGCAATATGAATAATAAATATTGCCACACAAAAAAAAAAAAAAAAAACTGTTTTATTCTACTTAAACTAAAAAGAAAATCATGTAGAGATTTTGTACAAGCTGGAGTTCCATTCAGTATGATGATACCCATTTCAGTAAGGCAAATAAAATTCTGGGTTTTCCTGTTCTTAAGTTTAAAAATGCAAACTTTGCTAAAAATTTTCCCGAGAAAGCACAGGAAATGAAAAAGAGCAGCACAACATGTCAGAAAGAAAGGAAGAAATCATGAGAAGGAAATAGAAGGTTTGAATGTCGTGACCATGTTGATTGGTTGAGGCAGAGGCTGAATCTGAATCAGAGAGTGTGAATCTGTAGGCTTAATGGGAATATGAATATGAATATCTCTTCCAAAAAGCTTTATTGCTGGATCTCTAACTTGGAACATGCCTCAACTGAAAACCAGACAGTTACTTAGGATAAATAGTACCCAAAAAGTGACTAAAAATGTTGCAACAACAAAACCCAGAACCATGGGAAACAAACTGTTCCACTTGCCAAATCAAGAAAATTGAAACAACCCTTTCCAATTTACCCTTTACATTTTTAATATAAAACAATAAATTAATCATCTTTAAAGAGAGAGGTGGGTGCTAAAGAAAATTCACAATAACTCTTCTATAAATTAAAATAAAATAAGGGAAATGTTTTTCTGCATGAGAAAAATTATCTCATGCAATACAAAAAAATGAATAGAACCTATTTTTTTCTCTCTCTTCTTTTTAGTGGGTCCTATTCACTTTTTGTATGTTGCACGAGACAAATTATCTCATGCAACATGAAAAAAATATTTTCCATAAAGTAATTCAAACATCTTACTCTTAAGTTATATTAAACTAGATAGATTCTATGCAGTTTATTCCTTAAGGGGGTGTTTGGTTCAAGTTTTTGGAGAGGATTACCGGTAATCCTTCTTTGGTAAATGTAATTACCACGTTTGGTAGAAGGAATAAATTACGATTCCCGGATATCCAAGGATTACCGGTAATTTGATTTATAAAGAAAAGTCACTATTCAGATTACCAAAAATAATATGGTAATTCGGAATACCAATCAGAATACCAAGTAAAGGGAAAGCACAACAATAAATTTTGAGACAAAAATACCCCAATACACATAAAAATCTAGACCCAATCTATCAATTACAAAAGTAAAAATAGTTTGGGGTTATTTTTGTAAAATAACCTCATATTCCAAGTCATATTTCGTTCTAAACCAAATATGGAATCAGTAATTTTTACCCAGTATTCCCGGTAATATTTTGGCGAACCAAACACATCTTTCGTAAGATTCCAAGTAAACTCAATTTCTACTGAATTCCCATTAATCATGATTCCCGGTCACCAAAAAATTTTATTCTGTACCAAACACACCCTAAGTATTTTATAAGTGTACTTATTCTTTTAATTTATTAATAATTGTCCTTGTATCCCCTTATTTTATATAAACCATGAAATATTACGGATATAAATTGGAAAAAGCATCTTTCTACATAAATTTATGTCTTTTTAAGAAAGAAATAAATATAAAGAGATGTGAGTTTTACCAAAAAAATAAAGATAAAAAAATAAAATAAAGATGTGAGTGTCAACTCTTTATATCTATCTCTCTTAAAGAGAACTAAATTTGTGCCCCTAAAAATAAGGGATAAGTTATTCTATCTATAATTTTTTTTGTACCTATCTTTGCCTACCACTTAAAGGACTATTAGATCATAATCTCAATTAACATTTATCTTTTTCTCTCTTTTTTAGATTCTGATCTAACGATGTTGGATAGTGATAGACAAAGATAGACAAAAAAAAATTAGTAAAATAATTTATCCCTAAAAATAATACACATTTCTCCCGTAATTCCGTAGAAAAATTTCTCATTCAACAAAAAATTTGAAGCTATCTAAATCAGTAAGGTCCGCAAAAGATAAACAAACGACAAAGCCACTTTTCTGTCCCGTTAGGCAGATGAACAAATGTCAGACTGGCTCTTGTCAGGTGACATAAGAAAAGTTTAAGTGTCATAATAGTGAATTTATTCCAAAAATAATGTGTATTATTCGTAAATAGTGAATAAAATTTAACTGCAGTAATAGATGTTCAAGTTTTATCTATCTTTCATGTACCTAATAAATGATGTATTTTCCCTTCTAGATTAAATTAGTTACCAAAGTTTGAACGAATGTTATTAAAATTGGCTCAGTGAATTACACGATTGAGATATTGGGTCATTAGGTCTCATTGATTGAATCGCATGAGTCGATGATTGTATATAAATCTATAATTTATATTAAAAAATTATAAATACATTTAAATAGTTGAAAAAAATAATATAAATTCTAAATATTTTAATATAAAAACAATAAATTATACAATATTGTCCAATTAAAGATCAAACAAACACATAATGTTTGTTATATTGGTGTTTCAGGTTCGGTACACGACATCTCTATCTATCAAATCAAAATTCTCTGCATAGTGCATAATTGAGATAATATTAAGATTGTAGGTACATAATTTATGTAAGTCAATAAGTAACAGATCACTCAAATATGTCAATTATGATTTTTTTTTTTTGGAAACCTTTTTTTTTAAATATTTTTTAAAAAAAAAGCAAAGTCGGGCCACCGATTTTTCACCAAAATCGGCCGGGTCGTATCAGATCGTACCGAGTCTGATACTTGACCGATCCAATGTGATAACCGGATCGGTCAGATGACCGGTTCACCAGATTCTGGGTTGACCCGGCTGATCCGGTCCGGTTTTCATAACAATGGTTTCAACGTAGGGTAATACATTGGTTATGTTTTATGTTTCAAGAAACAAATTTTTTTTCCTGGAAAGAGTCCCACACTATAAGAAGAGAGAAAAAAATATTAATAGCCCCCAAATTATGTATTGTGTCGGAAGGAATTTTTTTTTATTTCCTATAACATAACATAACCCGATGCATTACCGTTTTACGTAATATAAGGAATCATTCCTCTTATAAGAAGAGGATGTAACGAAGGGTAATACAATGGGTGTATTGGATTAGGATTTTAAAAGACTTTTTTGAGCTAAAAAATCTTATAGATTTTAAAAGACTATTTAGAATTGGAGAGACTTTAAAGATTTTTTTAAAAAACTTTTTTTACAATCAAAATTTCATAAGATTAGATTTTAAAGGATTTTAATAGAATTTATAAGATTTGAAAGGACAATATGGATTTATAGAATTTTAAAAAACCATATGAATTTTTAACAAACATTCAAAAGTACTTTACTCTCCTTCATAATTTGCGTTCGTATTTCTATGCCTTGCATTGCACATCCTTTAAATAACTTAGACGTGTTTGCCCAATTTATCCTCTTTCCGGGTTGCCTGAAGTACTTATTAAATACTTCTAAGGACTTATGTTTTTGTTGAAAGAACTTGCATGCTTGTTCTCGAAATTTGTAACTTAGGAAAATAAGGACATTAATCTTATTCGAGTTGCTACTTATCAGGAACAGACTATTTTACTATTTTACGAGCCGGATAGGTTTTAGTCTTTCAACCCGTGTAGTTTCGAGTTTCTCATTAAGCTTATTGGAGTTTTCCCATCCGTGACGGGTTACTTTTTCAACTCAAATAAATTTTATTTTCTCAACTCGTGCATTTTATGATTTTCATTTTGTTGACCGGGCAGAGGTCAAAGCATTGTACGGATTCCGTTTTATGTCATTTTCCATGATGCATGTTTATTCTAACTTAGCCATTTTGGCAAGTCTGCATGGATGAAAGTTATTATAACACCTCGTATTTCTAAATATATATTTTTATGTGATAATATTGATTAAAATGGTAGGATTAGTGAAAATCTTGACATTAGGGCCGAAATATGTAAAAAGGGCAAAATAGTAATTTACCAAACACGTGTCCCTAGGCATGAAAAATTGAGTAGAAGGTCTCAAATGATAAAAATAAGGCCGAAAATGGATTGAGGACGTAAAATTGAGTTGATAGGCAAGTTTTAAAATTTTTGATGAATAGTGATTTTCTCGGTATAAAATATTGCGGTATAATTGTACTGATAAGCGTGAAATTTTGATCAGTATTTTAGGAAAACAAAAATATGACGCGAACGAGAAAAATACGTAGGTTATGAATTTGTGGTTTAAATTAGGTGATTCATTAAAGTTAATTCACATGTGGGACCCACCTAAGAGTTTTAAGTGACTTAAGTGACATGAAAAATCAGATTTTTCCACTTTTCTCTCTCCTCCCTCTCCTTCTTCCCATGGAGGCTTTTCACCATTTGTGAGGGTTTGAGCTTTTGAAATTCCAACTTATTTTCTTGACACTTTTAGCAAAAACTTCCAACTACAAAGTTGTTCCCCACACTCTTGTGAGTAACTTCCATGTAGAGTGCATCTTGTAGGGAGCATTGTGTGAGGAGTTATACCCGTAAAACAACCACGAAATTTTGGGGAATTTGAGGAATTTTTGGTGATTTTTGGGTTGATTCATTGCTTGGAGATCATTCCCTTGGACCATTGGAGACTATTGGTGGTAAGTTTTTCCATCCTCTTTGAGTATTCATGGAGATCATAATATTGATGAGGGTTTTGAAGTTGTAAGTTGAGTTATGATAGTTAGGAACATTGAATGGTATGTCTCCTTTGGAATTAAATGCTTAGAATGATAAATGATGGAGTAAAGACCCTTTTTGATCCCTAACAAAAAATACGGTCCCCACTTTAGTCCCTTACAAAAATAAATTAGTCAGTTAGTCCCTAACAAATTCAAGGTGGACCCATTTTAGTCCTTTTGAGGGACTAATATGGGTCTTTTTTGAATTTGTGAGGGACCACGATTTCAACTAAATAGGTTCACTTTGAATTTGTTAGGGACTAACTGACTAATTTATTTTTGTAAAGGACTAAAGTGGGAACTGTATTTTTTGTTAGGGACTAAAAATGGTATTTACTCTAAATGATGATGATTGATACAATAAAAAATTATTGTGATTTGGAAATTTTAACTTGGGAAATTTTATGATGAGATTTCAATACTTTATGAATTGTCATGATGATGGGATTAGATAAGTGAGTTGTGGAGCTTTGATATGAGTCAATAATAGGATTGTAAGACATGTGTAAGTTTTAAATTGAATTGAAAGCCTTGGTGTAGGCTTCTTTGAAGAATTTGAACCATGAAGGGAATTTAGGAAAAATGATGTAAAAATTGTGTAGTTGAAGTTGTATGATTGAAAATGGTGTTTAAATGGATGATAGTATATTGTGATAAAGTGAAATTGGAAGAAAGAATGTTGGATATATATTTGTATGTGGAAATTCAACCTATAAAGGAAATTGGAGGAAACTGGTGAGAAAAATAGTGTAAAATCAATGGTTG